AAATGGAGCTGGCTCAATGTGTTAGAGCTAACTTTTAGCAAAATAGCTCAGGGTTCAAGCACTATGATGGACAAAGGAGGTATTTTAGTAAAATCCTGAGGCTGGTAACTCCCTAGATCAGTGGCAAGAACAGAGGGGAAGATGAACAATGTAATCTATAATATGTTGAAAAATGAATGGAACTAGAGATCATGTTGAGTGATATAGGTTGGGATCCCAAAGCAAATTGTCCAAAGCCTCACCTAAATGATGATGATGATATAATAATAATACCAATAGTAAAACTAATAATAAAGTAGTAATGACAATAAAAATCAATAATGAATCATGAATACCAAAAAGGGAAAATGTTTAAGGAGATAGATTAGGGGGAAAGGAAGGGAGCAAAGGCACTAATGATTGAAGGTAAATTAAGTATAATGTAATGTATATGGTATAATCTATACATACACACATACACTTGTGTATAATGGAGTCTATTACCTATTGTCAGAAAAATGGTATGTGTTAGACAGGAAAGGACAATGGAAATAAAAAGTGGATAGTGAAAAATTTCAAAGTACACTGCATTCAGGTATAGAATTATCAATAAATCACTTCATGTTATCAATATACATAAATTAAAATTAGTCAAGAGGTAAAATAAATAAAATGGCATAATTTCACATAGGAAAATACTGGGACTTTCTTGCAGAACTGTTTGCGGTAATCATTTAATATAATATAACCAAGTCAAAACTCCAAATGAAAAGCTTACCTGTTGATTTGTCACAAAGTTGCCACTAGTTGACAAACAATACACACAAGGAGAAAAATCCAAATCTTGACCTTCTAAACCCTGGGAAAGCACGGATAATACTGGATCTGTATCAATAACAGCTAGAAACTAGGGAGTTCTATTCTAGGCTTTCATGGTACATAGGCAGCTGGGACCATGCTTTTAGAGGAGTCATGTTCCCCATGTGAAAGTTTCTATTTCCTATTTTACTTTGAAAGTGTAATTACACTTGACAAGGATGACACTTTCATCAGGATTCTTTTTTTAATTTTACTTTATTTTATTTTATTTTTTTATTGTGAGAATACCATACAGAGGAGTTACAATTACATGGGCAAGATAACAAGTATATTTCTTATCAAGCATTGTTGACTCCTCTTTGCTTCCCCTTCCCATCCCTTCCCATACTTCCCCCCACCCCCCACCCGATCTTCCCCCCACCCCCCACCAAAGTTGTAAAGTTAGTTTTTCGACATAAGGACTTGTACATCTCATTGTTGCAATGGGTCCACCTGTATCCCTAGTTAGTAGATGTATTTTTTTCCCTTCCCCTCCACAAATTATACCAACATCAAATACAGTGAAAGCAGGGGTTATACTGTGGGGGAGGGACATACAAAGCAACAAAAAAATCATCTTATAAATATGTTAGAAACAATTGCATGAAAGGAAAAACAAAACAGAACAAAAAACATTTGAATACTTATTTTGGACCAGGATTTTTGTAGTGTTGTTATTAAGTACAGATCAGAAAGGTAAATGAAGGAGGGTTGACCTGAAGATATGCAGCCCTGAAGGGAACATGTGCACACAACATGTCCAGTAGTGGGAGGTGAGAGAGGGCTGCAGTGTCAATGCTGTCTCCAGCAGGTCCCTGGAGTCCCCTGCAGTGAGCAGGTCACTACTTATCCTCAAGGGCACAGATTGTATCCTGAGCTTCATGATGCTCAGGATAAGAGTGAGGAAGGGTTGTGTGGTGATTCTTAGGGTCAGAATTTAAAATGATGTGTTAAACAATTAAAATTATCTTTATTAAATTGTTAATCTAAAAGCTAATTCAATGCATATGAACAATAGACATATAACTTCTGCATTCATTCATTTATGAAGTGATCTACATTATAATAAGTACAACTGTCCTGAAGACCCTGCTGACTCTCCTTATTACCCCAGCCCCTCAGAAGCAGTGAGAACAGCCCTGGAGCATCCTTGCCACAGAGTCAGCCCTTCTCTGAAATCTGGGTCTCTCAGACTTTCACCTAGGTCCTAGACATCATTCAGTTCATGCCCTAGATTATAATCACTTTCTTTTCTTGGGGCTCTTCCTTCTTCCAGGAAGATCCACAGAAAGCTTTTCTGGTCTTCCCTTTCCCCTATCCTCAGCTATATCTCTCAGTCAGGAACTACTTCCCTCACAACCCAGGCAAATAGAAGCCTGCCCACATATTTCATTTGAGGTCATTGCTTCAAATTCTTCCATGTATTCCAGTTCCTGAAGCCTGTGAGGACTTGCAATTCATAAGACACATGTTGCTGACGCCAGACCTGGAGCATGGATCGTGAGAATTTAATGTGTAGTCCTCAGAGCCTGGCTACTTTCAACCCCATTTGAATAGGTATTCTTGGAATCTAATTTCATGATTCTATTATCATGTCCCCTCTGATGTGCCAGGTGGCTTTCATGCCTACCCAGCCAGCTACATTTTCCTTATTTAGTACCAGCTTTGTCCTACAATGAAGGGTAGAGAGAGCAAATTTCTCCCAGTAAAGGCAGTAACAGAGATTGAGGGGCCCATATGAGAACAGAAGTTAAATTAAAGGGAATTTGAAGGGATCAGTATAGCTTTTCAATAGTAAATTATAAATCATCATCAAAAGAAGGAAGAAGAACATGGTAAAATCCTTCCTGGGGCAGTTATGTTATCATGTGCTGCAGATAGCCTTAATTTTGTGCATGTAGGATGAGACAGTCAAATCAAGACTCAGATACAGTTTATATAGTATGTAATACTGAAGAAGTCTGACTGGACAATGACTTATCTGTGGGCTATATTACTTTGAGCAATTGTGTTACCTTTGTGCACCCACAGCCGCTACTTCAAATTATAATGTTCAGTACCATGTGAATACTCTGCTCATCTGTTCCCAAATGTGAATTCCTACACTACACAATGCAGTGTGTCACCACATGCTGATCTCCATATTGAGGCTTTCTAATTTCACTCTAGCTTCACATCCTATGATCAGTATTCTTGATTCCTCATGTGGAAAATTTCCTCTCGATTCTGTGTGGCTGTAGATCCTTGTACATGGGAATGTGTATTTACGAAAGGGGTAGGATAGAGAGGGATGAGGTAGAAAGATGAAAAAAGGTGACATCAGGTATATTGTATTCATAAACTTACATATTTAATGGCAGCACTTTTGTACAACTACTTATAGATTATAAATAAATACATATATACATATATATATATGACAACACAAGAAACTTGTATGAAGTTCTCATGTGTCTGCAGTCCCATTTCTCTCCATTTCTTTGTAGGTTATGGATGGAGTGCTGGGAACTGTATTTCCTGAAGAGATTGTGATGAGAGGAGTTCACAGCTGATGACACAGTGAGGGCATGGCCATCTCTCAGAAGATATCCAGGAAGGCATTGCCCAAGATCATGTTCACATGTGCCTCTTCCTGTCAGCAACTTGTAACCATAGCAAGAGTTTCAGGCAGTCTAAGTCCCTGGAAAAGAGGTATTTGCATGAAATATGGAAGGGAGTCTTCTTAAACAGAACTACTTCTTGACACAAAGGAAACAAACACAATAACAAAATAATTCACCTAAGTCCTGCATAAGAATATTTTTAATGCACATTTGTTTAATCCTCATCTGTCTGTACTTAGGTTAGGGCTGTCATGACTCTGTCACACTATGGTGTGTTAATAAAAATAGAACCAAATGCAAGTTGAGGTGGCCAAGCATATGATTGTCCCACAGAATGGAAAAGGTCTGTATTAGCTAGGCATCAGACAATCTAAAATATATTTAGAGCTCAAAAAATAAATCCCCCAAAACAAATCTTTAAAGAAACAACCACATTAATATGTGGGCTAAAGACTTGAAGGAGCTTCTCTTTAAGTCTTTCGCCCACTTACTTATTGGTCAGTTGCTTCTTTGAGGATTTGTTGTTGGGTGGTTTAATTTTTTGAGTTCCAAGTATATTTTAGATATGAGACCCTTGTCCGTTGTATGGCTAGCAAAGATCTTCTCCCAGTCCGTGGGCTTTCTATTGATCTTGCTAGCTATGTCATTTGCCCTGCAGAAGCTCTGCAACCTTATACAATCCCATTTGTCCAACCTTTCTTTGATTTGTTGTGTTTCCGGGTCTCTATTCAGAAAATTTCGGCCTGAGCCAAGGAGACCCAGGGTTTCTCCTATTCCATCCTGTAATGTTTTCAGAGTGTCTGCTTTGAGTTCAAGGTCTTTGATCCATTTGGAGTTGATTCTGGTGCAGGGTGATATATAAGGATCTAGCTTTAGTTTTCTACATGTAGTTAACCAGTTTTGCCAGCACCATTTACTGAAGAGGCTGTCTGTCTTCCATTCTATTGTTTTAGCTCCCTTATCGAAGATTAGATGGCTATAGGTCTGTAGGTTCATTTCTGGGTTTTCAATTCTATTCCATTGGTCCTGAGGTCTGTTCTTATGCCAATACCAAGCTGTTTTGATTACTATGGCTTTATAGTAGAGTTTGAAATTTGGTATTGATATTCCTGCAGCAGTGTTCTTTCCGTTGAGGAGCGTTTTTGCTATTCGGGGTCTTTTATTGTGCCATATGAATTTTTGGATTGCCTCTTCTATTTCCTTGAAGAATGAGGGTGCAATTTTGATAGGTATTGCGTTGAATTTGTAGATAGCCTTGGGAAGTATTGCCATTTTCACAATGTTAATCTTTCCAATCCAGGAGCATGGGAGGTTTTGCCATTTTTTAAGTTCTGTGTTGATTTCCTTTTTCAAGATTTTAAAGTTTTCATCATAGAGGTCCTTCACTTCTTTAGTTAATTCCTAGGTATTTTATTTTTTGTGGGGCTATTACAAATGGAGTTGCTTTCCTAATTTCAGCCACACTTTTCTCATTGTTGGCATACAGAAAAGCCATTGATTTTGGGGGGTTAATTTTATAACCTGCTACTTTGCCAAAGTTTTGAATCAGCTTGAGTAATTTGGGAGTGGAGTCTATGGGATTCTTTAAATACAAGATCATGTCATCTGCAAAGAGGGAGAGTTTTATTTCTTCTTTCCCTATTTGGATGCCCTTTATGTCTGCATCTTGTCTTATTGCTGTAGCTAGGCATTCTAATACTAGATTGAAGAGAAGTGGAGAGAGTGAGCAACCTTGTCTTGTTCCTGAGATAAAAGGAAATGGCTTTAGTTTTTCACCATTGAGTATAATGCTGGCTGTAGGTTTGTCATATACAGCCTTTATTGTATTGAGGAATGTTCCATGGATTCCTAATTTTTCCAAAACCTTCATCATAAAGGGGTGTTGGATCTTGTCGAATGCTTTTTCTGCGTCTATTGAGATAACCATGTGGTTCTTATTCTTGCTCCTGTTGATGTGATGAATAATATTAATTGATTTGCGTATATTGAACCAGCTTTGCATCCCTGAAATGAATCCTGTTTGATCGTGGTGTATGATTTTTTGGATGAATTGTTGAAGTCAGTTGGCCAAAATTTTGTTGAGAAGTTTTGCATCAATGTTCATCAAAGAAATGGGTCTATAGTTCTCTTTCTTTGATGAGTCCCTCCTGGTTTTGGGATGAGGGTTATGATGGCTTCATAGAATGTGTTCGGTAGTGAGCTTTCTCTTTCAATTTCATTGAAGAGTTGGAGGAGAATTGGTGTGAGCTCTGCTTTGAAGGCCTTGTAAAATTCGCTGTAAAACCATCTGGTCCTGGACTTTTCTTAGCTGGGAGGTCTCTTATTGCTGTTTCTATTTCAATGCTTGATCTGGGCCTGTTAAGATAGTTTAACTCATCTCGTTTTAGTTTTGGCATGTCAATATTTGCTAGGAAGAGGTCCATTTCTGTCAAGTTCTCAAACTTATTAGCATAAAGTTTTGAGAAGCATTCCCTTATAATGTTCTGAATCTTGCTTGCTTCCGTGGTGATGTTTCCATTCTCATCTCTGAGTTTATTAATTTGGGTGTGTTCTCTTCTTTTTCTGATAAGATTTGCTAAGGGTCTGTCAATTTTGTTAAGTTTTTCGAAAAACCAACTCTTTGTTTTGTTGATTCTTTCTATAGTTTTTTTGGATTCTAATTCATTTAATTCTGATTTAATTTTGATTATTTCTTTCCGTCTACTGGATTGGGGTTTATCTTGCTGCTCTTTTTCAAGGAGGTTTAGATGTGTCATTAGATTGTTAGTTTCAGATCTCTCCAATATCTAGTATAGGTATGAGTCAAGCGGAAAACGTCAGAGAATGTGATGTTAGGAAAACGAACCCTCAAATATGTATTTTAATGTTTTTGTTTCTTTCATGCATGTGTTTCTAACGCATTTATAAGATTATTTCTTGGTTGCTTTGTATATCCCTCCCCCACAGTGTAACCCCTGCTTTCACTATATTTGATGTCAGTATAACATGTGGAGGAGATGGGGACAAACAAGTCGCTTAAGGATTCAGGTGGACCTGTTGCAACAATGAGAAGTACAAAATGTCAAGTCAAAACCAGCTTTACAATGTTGGAGGGGGGGGGTGAGGGGGGGTATGATTGGGTGGGGGGTAGGGGGGAGGCTGGGAAGGGAGGTGAAGGGTAAACAAAGGAGGAGGCTGCAATGCTTGGTAAGAAATGTATGCATTATCCTGCCCATGTAATTGTAACCCCTCTGTACAGTATGTTCTCAAATAAAATAAAATAAAATTAAAAAAAAAAAAAAAAAGACTTGAAGGAAGATTTCTCTGAAGAAGTAATAAGAATGGCCAATAGACACATGAAGAGTTGTTCAATATTTCTGGCCATAAAAGAAATGCAAATCCAAACATCACTGAGATTCTGCCTCATTCTTGTTTCAAAGCCCCATGTAGCCTCTTCCCAATATGGATGACATTTTCATGTGCTGCTAGTTCTAAGACTCTGTTCATAGATTCTAACATAATCTTCATTTTTAGGGTTCTATTCACTCTGCTTAGGCTTAGTGTCTTTAACCCAGGTGTGGAACATGGTATTCATTTTTGGTTTTTGGTTTTTGTCAGTATTGGGCCTGAATTCTGGGCCTGGGCGCTGTCCCTCAGCTCTTCAACTCAAGGCTAGTCCTCTATCGCTTGATCCACAGCACCATTTCTGGCCTTTTCTGCTTATGTAGTGCTGAGGAATCAAACCCAGGGCCTCAAGCATGCAAGGCAAGCACTCTACCACTGAACCACCTTCCCAGACTGTGTTCTCTTAATTATTAGAAGAGCCCACCAAATGAAGGAGACATATGCAGGTTTAGATACTTCAATGGGCTTCAGGATAACTGGAAATTTATGCTCCTTTTCAAGGAAAATCTCTGCTTCTCAACACAGTAGCTTGGGTGAAGACACATGGACATTTGACATTACACACAGAGCTAGGTTGGTAGAAAAGATTGTTCCACTGTGAAGGGTGTAAGCATTATGCCCACCTTTGGTCCTGAGCTCCACCCAGACCTGAGCTCCTCCCTGCCCTGGAGTTCCTACCATACAGCTGGTCCCTCCCTCTCTCTGCCCAGACCCACTAGAACTCCCATTTACCTCACTTCCTAACCCCCAGACCCTGCTGCTATCTAGATAGAGGAAGCTGCCATGCGTTCTCTCTCTGGGAGAAATATGGCTCCTCTAATAAACCTTGTAATAATCTTTCTCCTGTGCCTGCCTGCCTGTACGTGATCCCCTGGCATGGATGTGAACTATCCTTTCATTGATCCTTTCATTGGTGGCCCTACGGGGCTAGGTTCCCCAGTGGATTCGCTACCCCCCTCTACTTTGGATGGGGGTCCGACCAGCTTCCCCGGGACCTAACCTGAGAGCCTACACTCTGATGAACAGAGGACCAACAAGGTAACTTTCTCCTGACTGATCACTCTACCTGCTACCGGCAAATTAAGTCCTACCCCAGGTCAGGGACCAGTTGACTGGAGTTCGGGTTTCTGATTTCTGTACCTCTGCCATCTGACTGAAATCTTGGCCAAGTGCCCTCTCTGCCCCCCCTCCCCTGCCCTTTAGGCCTTCCATGGCCAAGGACCACTGTGGAGAGGGTGATGATCCTTTCCATGGGTAGGTCCTTGTTTGAGCTACATTGCACTGCTCTGCAGCTAGCTTTTAGCTCTGGTCACTTACCATGGAAAAGTACAGGACTAAATTTCCTTACAATCAAATTTGACCCCAAATTTATGTGAGCTCTCGGGCAATTAGACCTCTCTCTCTCTCTCTCTCTCTCTCTCTCTCAAGTATGGATGAGTTTAAGTTTAAACTCCTTCTCTGTGGATCCCCTCTTTTGTGGCCTCCCCTATGAGGTGCCCCACTTCTGCGGCCTCCCCAGTGAGGTACCCCCTTTTGCAGCCTCCCCAGCTAGGTACCATTTGTGGCCACCCAGTGAAGTACCCCCTTTGTAGCTTCCTCCACGAGCTGCCCCTTCCTCTGAAGCCTCCTGTGGGAAGCCTCCACCTCTGTGGCTTCTCCTGAAAGTCCCCCTTCCCTGAAGGGCCTCCTCTGTGAGGCCCCATTCCCTTACTGGACCCCTCCTCTGCCTTTGTAGTGGGGGGCAGAACCTTAAGCTCTAGTTGTGCCAGAAGCAAGGCATCCTCACTGTCTAAATCTTTAGTTCGCTCTAGCATTGACCATGTGGCAGGTGCACCATCTTGGCTTCATGGGAGCTCAGCTGCTATTTCACACCAATTTGATTTTGTGCCAACCTCAACTTGATTCTGTGACCTCTGACCTCTGACCTGACCAGCTGCTCCATTATATCATGTCATGTGTCTGTTCTTGTCTCCTGTGTACTAAAAGTTTGTTGTTGGCCAAGTTTTGTGTTTTAAACTGACCACGTGATTCCATCATAATTAGGCAAAGTAAAATTTCAAAACACCTTAAATAGATGATTTAAAAAATCTAAGCCCTCTCTATAATCTGTGCACAAACATATGTGTCTGTCTGTCTACTTGTCTATATGTAAACGGTTATGGTTTCAAGGTTACCAAGTAATCTGCTTACTAAAAATCTTTGTCAATGGAAGCTGTGATTAATTTAAATTGCTTTAACACTTTTTGACCCGACTATAAGCCAAAGAAACTAAGGCTAAGGTTTTAATTCTCCATATTCTCCCCTGTGCACTGATCAACTCCCTTTAAGATCAAGGGACCAGAGTGACTATGCCCAGGCACAGCTGCCTAAACCAGTGGCACCAGCCTGCAAAAGCCAGTGTAAACCAGGTCTTTAACCAGCATATGTAGAAATTTTTGCAGGTAACCAGTGACAGATGCCACATACAAATGCCATAGCCTCGCCCAGACTCTGGCCTTGTTCCATCACACGTGACCAAAAGCCCGATAACTTGGGTAAAACACAGGCCACCTCAGATATTTGGCTTCTGTAAATGTTATTCCCTGCAAGTTAGACCATAGGGGTGTATGACCAAATGATAAACGGCCTAAAGGTAAAGGGTGTAGCCCAGTGTTTCAATGAAGCATATAAATGCAGATTCAAGTTGTAAGGTCCACTTCTGGATGGCCAGCAGACTCAACCCTTCTCACAGCAAAGTCTCTGCCCAGTACTTGCATTACCTATGCATCTGGCACACCTGGAAAAGGTCACATCTGGGTTCAATGTAGCCACACCTTTCCCCACCCCTACCTTAGATAAGGCCAAGCCTAGGGCTAGACACTCTCTCAGGCCTTTCCCAGCTGCATGTAGTGTCAACAAGATGGCCTGGTGCCAGCCAGAAGGATGAATAAACCTACCCCTTACTTGAATACCACGTGTGTGGTGCTGTTCTTACTCAACCTCTTTTTAAAAACCTTACAAAAGGAACTTTAGAAAAAGGGATTAAAAATGGAGTCCCCTTTGTGAAAATTTTGGAAGCTGTGGGGAGTGGCTGGCCTCTCAGACAAAAAAAGTTTAAAATTAAAATTGTCCTAAAGGTTTATTTCAAGGTAAAAGAGATAAATTAAGATTACCAGAGAACTGAGATTGTGTCCCTATTGAGATCTGCCTAAATCAGGTTCCTCAGCCAGTCAGAAAAATGCTTTTATAAACCAGAGTGCTAAAGAGGCTACCTTGCAGTAGCCCAAGATATAAGCCACTTTAAACAGGCTGGCCAGAGGCAATGGGCAGTACTTAGAGCGCCAATCAATGCCAGTTTAAAAACATCTACTGGGTTTTATTAAAAACTTTTGACAAGTAATTGTTAGTCAATTGTTAACAAGTTATAGGTAACTATCTCATTGATCTCTTTGTTGTTTTAATTGGAAATAAAAAGGGCTTTTGTAGCAAAGATTCCTTTTATCACAGTTCAAAGCTATCCTGGGCACAAAGAATCCCTCTAAAACTCCATTTCCCAGCTAATCGGCACAGAGCCAGACTGGAAACATGGCTTAAGACTCACCTCTAAGTTTTCAGCCGAAGGCTGAAAGTGGCATTGTGACTCTTATGTGGTATAGCACTAGCCTTGAGCAGAAGTGCTCAGGGACAGTGTGGAGGCCTTGAGTCCAAACTGTAAATGCCAATTGGGACAAGCTATCGCAGCAACAGACACTGAGACACCCATCAGGACAAAGTCCTGACAATGGAAAATCATGGAGAGGAATAAGAGGAGATGATATTCTAAATGGAGTCACTTTATGCTCGCCCTTTCAAAGTTAATCAGAGCCGGGAGATCAAGAGAAATAGTTGCTTGCCCACCTAATGTCCGTATCCATCTACCTTTTAACTGGACAGTCTTGCCTTTGTTGCCTGCTATTTATATTTATAGTAGCTTCTGATTTTCTCCCCTACCAAGTTGCCCAAAAGACCCTAGACACCCCATTCCTGCCTTCCCTGCCCCAAGTCCAGTTATTCCTCATTCCCTGTTATGGGCTTCAGTTGGGCATATACTCCAAATGAAACATTTCCAGCCCATGGCCAACGTATGTTCTCCTATGTCATTCATGTTAACTGACCTTGTCACCTTGTCAGCTTTTTGCCTGATTATTCCAAAAGTCTCTTTGAACAAGATAACATCCCCCACCCAGGATACCACCTGGGAACAAGTCAAGGCCATCCTGTTCCTACAGGCAACCAGAGACATCACTTACACTGCCCTGCCTTGCCCAGTGCAGATCTGTACCCTAAAGACCCCAGCTCCATGGATTCCTTGATGCCCCTAGGCCAGCAGGAAGTAGACAAAAGAGCCCAAGACACTCATTGGCTCAGGTATCTTTAAATATTTCTGCTACTCCCTTCTCAGGTTACTGTGATCCTAAAGCAGAAAAAGTCTTACACCCCTCCTCCAGGATGCTGGAGTCAGGTATGCTATATCTCCAATCCGAGACAGAAAAGGCAATTTCAGGTCTTTGATAGCTCCTTCTGGGAATCAATCCCTCCATGGCATATTCCTCTCTTGGGGTATTAACAACAATTTTTGCCTTTTATTAATTGTCTTGCATTTTAGATAATTATTGCCATGGAAAAAGAAGGACCTTTACCAACCACTGTCAAGCAGATGCTTCTTTGATAGTACCCAGCCAAGCAATGAAACAGGGACCCCTGACTACTTCACTCCTTTACAGCAGGATGTAGTCCAAAAGAAATGGCCTCTGCCAATACCCTCTGGCCTGGTACCCCCTATTTTAATTAAACAACAGAGCAGGGAATGTAAGCATTATGCCCACTTTTGGCCCTCACCTCCACCCAGACCATAGCTTCTCCCTGCCCAGGAGTTCCTACCATACAACTGGCCCCTCCCTCTCTCTGCCCAGACCCACCTGAACTCTCATCTACCTCACTTCCTAACCCCCAGACCCTGCTACTACCTAGATAGTGGAGGCTGCCATGTTCTCTCTCTCTCTGGGGGAAATATGACTACTCTAATAAACCTTGTAATAATCTTTCTCCTGTGCTTGCCTGCCTCCACCTGGTCCCCTGGCTTGGATGTGAAGCATCCTTTCATGGATCCTTTCAAAGGGGGAAAAAAAATCTAACAAAGACTTGCTTTTATGGATCTTCTGGGAATTCAGAGATGTAGGAGCAAACAAGGTTATACTATACAATACAAAAGTTTAACTATTTTCTTTTCAATGCCTTACCTTCTTTTTTCACCACTAAGGATTGCATTATAGGACAGCAGTGCTGATAAGTTGCCACATAAGAATTATCAGTGAATCATAGCAATTCCAACTTTCTGCTCCGGATAATAAAGACTGGTGACAAAGTTGTGGTGCCCAAAAGTTATCTGTAAATTTCTACAACTAATACTTTAATGGATAGGTCTTGTCTCAGATGAGGAAATTAAAAAAAAAAAAAAAGTCTTTGATTCTCAAAGGGATCAGTGGTGTGCTCCACCCACAGGAAAAGAAACTTCTGTTGCCTGACCTCGGTCTCCGGAGACTCGAATGTGTAGTCTTACTGAGATGAGGCAGCTATACAGCTGTGTTTAACCCTGACTAGCTGTTGATGATTTGCATGTGCCATCAACCCAGCCTACTGACCTCAGGACTTTTCTCACAGGTTTTCCTGCCCAGGCCAACTTCAATCCAGAATCCTGAGTAGCTAATACTACATGTAAGAGCCACCAGTGCCTGGCAGAAATTATGTGCTTCAGGTTTTTTTCATTACTTTTCTGATATCTATTTTTATTCACATATTTTAGCTGAACCTATTACTGAGATTCTGGGATTCTCGATACACTTCTATTATGTACATTAATAATGTCTTTCCACTTTTTTTCTATGCTCACCCTCCTGACTCCTGAACTGGAGCTCTTTTCAGGCCCACATAATTACTATTCTAACTGTTTTAAGTTTCTTTGAATGAGAAAGACCATACATAATGACCTTTTTTTTTTTTTTTTTTTTTTTGCCTGTTTTAGCAGAATGTCCTCCAGTTCCATTCATTTTGCTGTTGATTACAGGACTTCATGTTTCTTTATATATATTGTATATATATGGTCCATTTTATCGCTACATTCTCATCTGTTCTAGGATGCTTGATTGAATCCAAATTCACAGTATCACAGTAGATCTAGGGATGCAGAAATTCTCTTATAAATGTTACTTTTGTATGGTGCTTTATTCCAGCTCATGTCCCAGACTATAAGCCCTCTCCTTTCCTGTGTATACCTCCTGTACTGATTATAGGTGGAAAGGACTTCTGATCCCCACTTCCTCCTCATTTTTAACTTCATCTGTCAGCTAGTCAGTTTCTTGCTTCCAAGCTAGTCAGCTCCCAACCCTAGACAGTGTATGTGTGCCCACAGCTCTGGTTTGAGGCCATTGTCCCAAACTCTCCATGTTTTCCAGTGTCTAAAGTCTGTGTTGACTTGAAATTCACAAGTCATGTCCTGGAGCATAGATCAGGAGAATTTAATATGTTATCTTCAGAGCTTGGCTTCTTTCAACACCCCTTGAGTAGCAGCTTTTGGTGTCTCTCTTGCTCATCCTATCAATATATCCCCTACAATTTACCAGGTGTTTTTCACAATTACACAGTATCAAGCTGCCATCTTTTTATTTGAACCAACTTCGTCTTTCAGTGAATTGTAGAGAAGTTAATCTGTACCAGAAAAGGTAGTAGGGGCTATTCAAGGAAACAGATGATAAGATTAGAAGTAAAATTTTAGAGGAGTGGAGGGAATGGGTATAGCTTTTAGGTAGGATTATAAATCACCATAAAAGGGGGGAAGAAGAAAATTGTAAAAATCTTCCTGAAGCAGTTCTGTTAGCATATGCTACAGAGAGCAGATGGCCCAGTCCTCATCCCTGTCTGCATCTCTTGGAGACAGAGTTGCCATCACTTGCAGGGCCAGTCAGGGTATTAGCAATGACTTACATTGGTACCAGCAGAGAACAGGGAAAGCTCCAAAACTCCTGATCAGTTACACAACTAGTTTGCAATCTAGGGTACCATCAAGGTTCAGTGAGGTCAATCTAGAACAAATTTCACTCTCACCATCAGCAGCCTGCAACCTGAAGATGTTGCCACTTATTACTGTCAACAGAGTAATAGTTACCCTCCCATAGTAATACAAACAATAACATAAACCTCCAGGGAAGCAAAGGTGAGAGGCTGGGCTGCCCCATCTGCTTATCATGGTGTCTGCATCTGCTGATAGAGCTTTTCAGATGCAGCCAAACTTTGAAAGTCACTGGAAAGTATTGGGAGAAAGCTTATATAGGCATCTTCACACCCTAACCCTCTGTCCTTCTGCTCATCCCAAGCAGCACACACCTGACAATGCCTCTTCGAACTTTAAAAGAACACACATCTGTACTCCTGTGTGGTCCATATTCTGCAGTCACTCAATGAAGAATTCAGTCTAAAAATGTCAAAGCAGGTTTTTGAAAGGAAGACAATATGGCTTGTGAAAAATATTTTAAAAATAATTTTGTAAAGAAAAATAGTCATTAAAAAGTTTGATTGCCATGGAATAATTTTATTTGAAGTAATGTGATGTTAGGGTATTTGTTCATATTGTACAATGTTTTAATAATACAATTAGGCAATCAGTCATCACTTAAAACACTTACCAAATTTTTTGTAGTCAGCAGATTTTCTTTTCTTCAGCACATGAGATCTTTTTTATTGGCTTTCATAATTTTTAATATGTTTTGTCTTTTCTTTTTTGTACCAGGGATTTCAAGTAACATTTTTACAACACATCCAATGCTTTTAACTAGTTACCAAATATTAATTTATCTTGAATGCTGAATGTCAAATCAATCATTATTCTCCATGTGATTCTCTCATCCCATGACAATAAAATGGAATGATTTTTTTGAAACTTGAGGAAATATAATGACAAAAATAATAAAAATTTTGTAATTCTGATTTGGAAACTGCTGACAGAATTATTCTGTTGTTTGACCTCAGATTATTAAAGCACACTTGATTTCTAGCCCAATTCAAATAAATCCACATATAGCTAAATAAAAATAGGCAATATGTGAATAAATAGAACATATTTAAGACATTTATGAAACCATATACTAGGTACAGTTACATAGTGACATATATTACAACAATGTTTACCAGTTTAATCAGAAAAAGGTCTTCCATATACCATACAGATGTAATAAGTGCCATAAATTCATATTTAATATTTATATATAGAATTATGCATGGATGAAAGAGGTTGAGTAGAGAGGGATGGGGTAGAAAAATTAAAGGGGTGACATTGATCAAGATATATTATATGTATAAACTATGTTTAATGGTCACTCTTTTATACAACCACCTATATATAATAAAAATATAATTAAAAACAAAAAAATGTGTATGAAATTCTCATTTGTCATGACACTCATCTCTGTCTGTCAGACAGGATGTGGATGTATAGGGTTGAATCTCATCTGATTCAGAAAATCCACAGTAAACTAGAGAGGGAGAGGACTGCTGGGAAATGCACTTCCTGAAGAGATTGTGATGACAGGAGCTCACAACTAATGACCCAGTGCAGTCATGGTCAGGAAGGCATTGCCCAAGACCATATTCGCACATGCTTCTTCCTATCAGCAGCTTGTAACTATAGCCAGAGTTCACTCAGTCTCAGTCCATGGAAAATGAATATTTGCATGAAATATGTAAAGGACACTTCTCAAGCAAAACTTCTTGACATATAAGAAGCAACAAAACTGAACATGGATGCAATATTATTTTTTTGTCTTAGCATCACTTAGAGCATGTTACAAACACAAAATTATAAAATGACCTCAGATGTACTGATAGTGAATCTGCACTTCAGCAAGTTATCAAATGATCCCTGTAAGGTTTAGGAAGTTGTATTAAGATGAGTATCAGAGGTAGAGATTTACTTTTTATACACCAGTATATTTAAGAGCATTTCTATTTAAACCATATCTCTCTTTCTCTCATACCCTCCTCTCTCCCCTCTCTTTGTCCCTCCCCCTTTCTCTCTCAATCTCTCTCTCTCTCTCTCTCTCTCTCTCTCTCTCTCACTCACACACACACACACACAGAGATCTGTGTCAATCATTTACTAAAACAAAGTTATTGGCATAAGTTCTGAATAAAGAAGAGTTTTGCTTAACTCACAGTGTTAGAAATAAAACTCCAAGATGTAGTATCCTCATCTGTCTGTGCTCAGGTAAGGCCTGTCCTGTCGTGCCACAACAGTATTAGTAAAGAGGGAACAAGCTGCAGATGAGATGGCCAAGCATATAGTTGTGGTTACAAATGAGTGGTTATAACACATGAGTATTATGAGAACTGACTCAATCCATGAGAGCAGCTTTAATCCTCCTGATGGCAGGAAATCTGATGGCCTGCTCACTTCCCATAAGGCATCACTGCTCAAGGCCAAGTGGGGTCCATTGAGCCATCAGCACATCTCTTTCTCCATGTGCACCTTCTTCACAAGCACAGAGATTTTGGAGACAAGAAGTAGAGACAGAGCATCTGACACAAATAAACAAAGACTAATTAACTAGATTGGTACTGCAGACATTTAAAGATTTTATGTTAATTAAAGGTAATGAGAAATATATTTATACAAATATGTATTAATATAATTATCTTGAAGTAGTCACATCAGTACATTTCAACTCAACATCTCCATGTATGAGTATAATACATCTTGATTGAATTCAAACTTCTATTACATTCCAGGTAGGATTTTTAAGAAATAGGTTGATTAATTAATTAAATATAGTACAGTATCAAAATGGTTACATTGAATATACATATATATGAATATATATTCGCACTTTCATGCATAAATATTTCTGTCATATTTTTCATTTTAAGACAATTTGGTCATTACCTATAAGAGAAAAATTGCTCTCCCTGTCAATTTTTTTGCCCTAAGTCTTAACAGGAAGTTCCTATGGAAACAGACTTTCTAACACTTGTAGCTAACATCCCTGAACAGATCATCTGGTAACTATGGATATCAGATGCCTCTTCATCTACTCAACTCTCTGCTTTCAATGGTCAATTCCCTTGAGGATCACTGAGGAAAGAGGGTACTGTGCCTTTCCCTATACTAGCTGAGGAGATTCATAGGAGCTAAGGCATGATATCTATTAATTTCCTAGAGATGATCCTGGACATAAGCCTGCCTACCATTGGGTACTGATACTGTTCTATGGGGTGAGAGCATGTGCACCCTATACTTCTTGAAGAAATACAACTTTTACAATGGGATCCTTCTTTCCAGTGCTGCAGCAACCACGTAATTTTTTTTTTGGTTATTACCAAACACTGAACACTTCTTTTGTCACTTTTCTTAGAAGAGCAGGCTTTATCGTCCATTTTTCTTTCCTCACACTGTTGCCCCCACCTGGCTATTTGCATATTGCTCCCTAAGGAGGACCTTCCTTTCTAAGTCTGAAATAAAGACTGAGTGCTGCTGAACTTGCCTTGACCTGTCAAGACTCCTCATTTCACTCCTAAAAATGAAGTCCTTGTCTCAGCTCCTGTGGCTGTTAATGCTCTGGATCCCTGGTAAGAGCAATGGGAGATGAGGATTGAGAGTGGGTGGGAGGGTGAGCTCTTAGCACCCATGGTGCCCAATCCACATTTTAGACGTGCAGATCTTGTTATCCATGATGGGGCAAATGAAGAAAAGGTCTTAGATAGTCAGAAATGTTCCAGAAAGTGCTAGAACTTATGCTTGGATACATATTCTGCTGGTTGAGAAGATTGTTGGTGACTCCTAGAGACTCATTTATGGTTTAAAATGTCTGATCTTTTAATTTTTGCTATTTTTACATTCTGAATCAAGGCATGATATGAATAAAATGCAATATATATCAAAATATAAGTAATACATGCATGTCTGCCTATACTTGCGAATAACCTTGCATTTCTTCTTATTCTAATTTCAGGATCCAGTGGAGATGTTGTGATGACCCAGTCTCCAAGTTCCCTGTCTGTCACACTGGGAGAGTCGGCCTCCATCTCCTGCAAGTCTAGTCATAACCTTCTGTATGAGGATGGACACATCTACCTCGATTGGTTCCTGCAGAAGCCAGGCCAGATTCCACAACTCCTGATCTATAAGGCTTCCAACAGAGCATCTGGGGTCCCAGTCAGATTCAGTGGCAGTGGGTCAGGCACAGATTTCATACTGAAAATCAGCAGGGTAAAGGCTGAGGATATTGGAGTTTATTATTGCTTGCAATATACACATTATCCTCCCACAGTGATACAGCCCTGAACTAAAACCTCCCTTCTGACTGGGGCAGCTGTGCTCATGCATTGGTGGTCTGAGAGCAGCAGAGCAAATTGTCTCAGGTCCTATGTCAGTGTGAGAGTGACTTTGAGGGGAGATGAAAAGTCTGTGTCAATGAGACAACATACAATCTACAATGACCAGGAGAGTAATCATGCAAGCACAGAAAACAGGAGATATCAGATAAATCTTGTTGTTTGTGTGGTACTGAGGTTTGAACTAATGACTTCACAAGTTCTCTTCCATTTCTGTACCATCCAGACTTCTACTTCTTGTTGTTTTGTTTGTTGGTTTTTGTTTTTTCAGGTCAGTTTCTGTGGTTTGTTTGTCTGGGTCACAAACCCAGTCTTTAATTCACTCACTGCATTTTTCTCCTGTTTGACACTAGAAGAGACGGCTGACATAGGAACATGCATGTTTACAGAGAAGTGTAGTGTGAGTAGACTTCAGCTCATAGGAGAGAAAATACCTCGGCTTCTGAAGAAGAACATTTTGGGATAAGAAGGATAGAGTCATTCTAACTGGAGTGAGGTGTAATCTCAATGTTGTTTTGATTTTCATTTCTTTTATAGCCAGAGGAGTTGAGCATTTCTTCATGTGCCATTCTTATTTCCTCTTCAGAGAAGTCTCTCTTTAAGTTGTTACCCCACTCATTAATGGGTATGTTGTTTCTTTCAAGATTTGTTTTTAGGGGATTTAATTTTTGTGTTCTAATTGTATTTTAGGTATGAGGTCCTAGTCTGTTGTATGGCTAGTGAAGATCTTCTCCCAGTTTGTGGGCTTTCTATTGATCTTGCTAGCTATGTCCTTTGTCATGAAGAAGCTCTGCAGTTTAATTCAATTCCATTTATCCAAACTTTCTTTGATTTGTTTTGTTTATGGGTCTTATAGAAAACGAAACCTCAAGTATGTATTTTAAAATTTTATTTTCTTATAAAGATACTGTACAGAGATGTTACGGTTATATCAGTATATGAAAAGTTTTTTTGTTGGACATTATTACCCCCTCCTTTTTTATTTTCCCCCCACTATCCCTTCCCTCCCCTACCACCCCTACTGTCCATTCCCTCTCACAGCCTCCCCACTCACCCCCACCCCAAAGTTGTAAAGTTCATTAACAAAAAGTAAAGTAGTATGGAAGTTCCTCAAAAGACTACACATAGAGCTCCCCTATGACCTAGCATTCCCACTTTTGTGCACTTATCCAAATGATCACAAACAAGGCCATACTAAAGATAACAGCACAACTAGGTTTATTGCAGCATTATTCACCATTGCTAATATGTAGAACCAACCCAGATGCCCCTTTGTAGATGAATGGATCAAGAAAACCTGTTACATCTCTCTCTCTTTCTCTCTCTTCATATATACATATATATATGACAATCAGAATGAATGACACTGCCCCATTTGTTAGGAAACGGAAAGAGTTGGAAAAAATCATATTAAGTGAAGTAAGCCAGACCCAAAAAATATTTGTCCTATAGTTTCCCTTAATTGCAATAATTAGTACATATCTAGGATAATTGTATCAGATCAGCAGAAAATCTCAAAAACTATGTACATATGACCATATAAGATGACGCTAAGTGAAATGAACTCCAAGATATGGACATAAGAGGTCTTTCTTTGTTATTGTTTTTAATGTACTATATGATTTTCTTTTGTTTCTTTTGTAAGTTCTTCCTTATTATGTATAACCCCTGTTGTCACTCTATTTGATTTTGATACCCTAAATCTTGTATATTCATTTATCTAATTTGGGGAGGGGAAAGGGAATAACAAAATGCTGAAACAATGACACAGGATGACTCATTGTAACAATGATAATCTCAAGATGCTATGTTGTAAATGAACTTTACATCTTTGGGGTAGGGGGGAGTGGGGAGGCTGTGAGAGGGAATGGATAGTAGGAGAAAATCAAAGGAGTGGGTAACAATGCTTGACAAGAAATCTACTCTTTACCTTACTCATGTAATTATAACCCCTCTGTGTAGCATTTTACTATGTATCTAGCTATGCATCTATGTATCTGTCTATGTATCTTATGTATCTATTTATCTATCTATCTACCTACCTACCTACTTACTATCTATCATCAACAATCTTAAGTTTTGTTATAGTAGGGTAATTATTTTCATGATAACCCAAAAAGAAGTTCATAAAAAAAACAACTGATATAGCAGAGAATCATAAAACAATTAGCTGTACATCTCTGAAACTGTCTTTTCCTGAAAGGTTGGCTTTATAAAAGGCTAGCATGAAAAACATTTTATAGTTTCCCTTATTTGCAATAACTAGTATATGTCTGAGTCAAGCAGAAAAGGTCAGATAAGTTGATGTTAGGGAAATGAATGCCAAGATAAGTATTCAAATGTTTTTTTTTCTTTCATGCAATTGTTTCTAACATATTTATAAGATGATTTCTATGTTGCTTTGTATGTCCCTCCCCCACGGTATAACCCCTGCTTTCACTGTATTTGATGTTGGTATAATTTGTGGAGGGGAAGGGCAAAAACAAATCGTTTAACTAGGGATACAGGTGGACCTATTGCAACAATGAGATGTACAAGTCTTTATGTTGAAAAACGAACTTTACAACTTTGGGGGATGGGGATCAGGTGGGAGGGAGGTGTGGGGGGGGGCGTATGGGAAGGGATGGGAAGGGGAAACAACAAGGAGGCAACAATGCTTGATAAGAAATGTACTCGTTATCTTGCCCATTTAATTGTAACTCCTCTGTATGATATTCTAACAATTAAAAAAATTAATCAACAACACAAAATTCAAACGCTAATTTTTCTGAATTTTGTGTTATTTTTCTGATTCTCTTTATAGTTTCCTTACTATGTATTATTAAACAATATGTCATTTAGTTTTATCTCATTTTTAGACTGAAATTATATAGGATCTATTCTTATAGGACTTTTATTTGAATTGCTTTTAGATCCATGAATGTCATGAGCAGTTCAGTTATTTGCATTAATAGCATTCAAATGGATATATATTTTGCTGTGATGTTAGTTCTAATGTAGAAAAATTGAGATATGTGAAGTCTGTTGTGTATTCTGTTCAATTACAATGATGCTATTAAAAAAAAGAAAAAACATTTTATGAACAACATGGAAACCACTATTCTCAAACCACAGGAAACAAATTCATTTGGTTCTCTGGACTCAAGGCAGAACCATTTTAAGCTAGCACATTTGCACTGCTCTGGTCAGGTAGACCTTATTGTACCCTGGACTTATTGAAGACAATAGCTATGTACTAAGAGATGGAAATCTGCCAGCCTTGCTGTTTTGTGTCCTCTTTTTACCCCTGCTCATGTGCATATGCCCAGAGCACAGCTCACAGCAATTAAGACTTCATGATAGGCTTCTCACTGACTGGGCAGCAGTCAGTCACAGTCAGCACACAACATGGACTTGAGGGCCCCTGCTCAGCTCTTGGGGCTCCTGCTGCTTTGGCTTCCTGATAAGAGAAGACAATGCCTCAATTTATTCATTATAGCCAAAGCTTCTTCAAGGAAATTTTATAATAAGCAAATTATTATGCATTTTTTATTTTCTGTGTTTTCCAGGTGACCCAGTGCTATCTCTGTTGGCAACTGTAGGAGGAAAAATCACTATTAATTGCAGGGTCAGACAGGGCATTAACAGTTATTTGAATTATTATCAGCAGATACAAGAGAAACCCCCTGACTTCTGATATATTGAGCATCCAGGTTGCAAACTGGGGTCCCATCAAGGATCACATGCATGGATCTGGGATAGCGTTCACTCTCACCATCAACAGCCTGCACACTGAATATTGCAACTTATTACTGTCAACAACATAAGACTACTCCTACTGTTAAACAAGTTATCATATAAACCACCCAGAGGAGCAAAAGTGTGAGTCTGGCTGCCCAGATATTCCTGTTGGTGCATCCCTCTACTGACAGTAGTACTTAATGGAGATTCTGAAATTTTTCATGGAAAGAATCAGTGAAAATCTTGTCCAGCTTCTTCTCTCTTTTCCTACTCAGCCCAGCAGCACAGACCTGACAATGTACTTGCTGTCTAATCAAAGATAAACCTATACTTACAAGGAGTCTGGAAAGTGATATCCTATTGGATTCATAAAATAAAAAGAAGCTGTTTCAAATATACCAAAAAAAAAGATTTAATACTGAATAGCTGTGGTTTTTCTGGGAAATCATCTTCTGGTCCAGTGATAGACAGACGGAAAATAGAGAAGACCTGATATTCCTACCAAGTTCTCCCATATATGTGATTATTTAATTTCTGGAAAGGGTAATAAGACAATACAACCGAGAAAAATTATGTATTTTACATTTCATTGTGAAATAGCCTAGTGTTGGATCCATGCTTCATAATGTTTAGGGAAATTAACAAAATGTCATGAAAACCCAAGCGTAGGGTCTAAAATAGTAAAATTCTCACCAGACAACTCAGGTTTATATCTTTGTAATTTTGTATTAGCAGTATTTCCTTAGATGTGCATAATGCCAAAACATGAAGTGAAATGAGGGATAAATTGGACTTCGTAAATTTGATCAATTTCAAAGCTCTAATAGATACTTTTAAGAAAGTGAAAAGACAGACAATGGAAAGGGAGAAATGGTGTGCCAATCATCTATCTGATACCAGGTTAGAGCTTCTGTAGTTTTCTCAGTGGTCATTGGAAGAGGTCCACACTAGAAGACCGATCTGAAATTTCTAGGTAAGAAGTGCTCATGAAAGACAACCCCTGCCTGTATTTCTCCAGGCTTAGAACTGATAGGGAATCATACAGGACATGAAGAGATGACCAAGGTTGCATGGTTCAGTTGTGCAGTGAACACATCTTCACTCTGAGTTGCAAGCTGGTGAGTGGAGTTCAGCAGAGATCAACATGCAGAAAGGCAAATCCTACCACCCAGTCTCATAACCCAATGCAGTTTCATAAGAGAGCTCCTATTTCTTTCAAGAAAAAGAGAAGGAAAATTATAGACTCTTATAAACAAATGCAAAGGACAAATCATTACATCTGGAAACAATTAATTAAATAGCAATCTAAACACCCAGTGAGAACAAAGGAGAATGGATATCTTAGGACAGGATCACAGGGCTCAAAAGCTGTGTGCATGTGATCATATAAAATGATCCTTGTCAAAATGGACTCCAAGAAATGGAAGTAAGAGCTTTTTTATTGAACTGTTTGCATTTTTTACTTTCCTTTCTTCTTTTCTTTTTTCTTTGGTTTATTTCCTTCTGTAGCTGTTTTCTTTTTTTCTCCATACCCTTTGTCCTGGTTTGTGGTCATTTGGATAAATGTTCATAAGTAGGGTAGCTTACTATTTTCCTTAATGGCAGGTTTGTATGTGCCAATTTTAATTTTGCATATCCAGTTACTTCAAAAACAGTATAAAGAAGTACTGATTTTTATCCACCAAAGAAGTGGATACAGAATGCACTTCAGGATAATCCATCCACAGCAACAAGCAATAAGGAAAGATAAATCCAGTTCATGGAAATTCCTAATCACCTTGTCCCTATGTGTCTTTCTGACCCAGACACTCCCTGTGTGTCTCTGGGTAAAGACTTATAGACAGACTGGCCTTTCTGTACTTCCTGTCACCTCAGCCTCTAGACAGTCTCCTGCTGTGAGGAGCTTCCTCCTGCAAATGTCAGTCATCCCCAAAATGAAACTGCTATTTGCTCCTGATCACTGATATCATGTTTTTTTGTTGTTTGTTTTTGTTTTATGTGATCAGCCCACAGATCTAACAATTCTCCCAAAATTTCAAAACTTCTGAGCCCAAATTGTTCACTCTTATTTGATGGACACAAACAACTCACTTTGAAGAGCTTCTGGCCTGACATCAAGATACCACACATGGTTCCAATCTATGGACCCAGACCGAGAACATTAGGCAAAGGAGCCCGAATGGCTGATTACAAAGTGTTCTCTTTAAGTCCTTCCGCCTTTAATTGCCTCTGGTCTTTAGGAAAGACGTTTAGAAGCCTGCATCCCACCTGGGAGTAACAGACACTCCTCTTAGGGCTTTACTGTGTTTCTTGTCCAGCTTGTGGTCACCATCTCTGGTGACCTCAGCATTATGTGGTAACATAGGAGAGTGCCAGTTTATGTCAGTCACCAGAGGACAGTTGTCTGCCCATATCTCCTTTAGTTCTATAGATAGTGTACAAAAATTGAAATGGCTCCTTTCTTTTTCTGTGTGCTGGTTCTGATACTTGTATCCAGAGCCTGGAAGCCAAGGCTAGCACTCTACCACTTGAGCCACAGCTCCACTTGTTAAATTTTTATTAGTTAGACTGGCTTTGAATGGTCATGCTCAGATCAAGGCCTCCTGAGCAAGGAACTAGGATTACAATTGTGAGCCACTTGCACCTGGCTGAAATGGCTTGTTTTGGCCCAAGAAGAATTGTGGCAAGTTTTAATAATTTCTGTAGAACTGAAGTTCCTATATTAAGACCGAAAGCAGCCAATAGTAATGACAGTCTCTTTAAGGGTTAATCATTTATTTTCACAAAAATGGGAATATGTTTACAATAGAAATGTCTTTAAAGAATATATTTCATCTATTATATTCTCCAGCAGTAAGTTCCAGTAAGTAAGGACATGATATACTTCATATTGTTACTTGTTTTCCTAGAATTCGAATTTGGTATTTAGTAGTAAATCTGAGTATATTTTTATTAGAGATCCAAAACATGTTTTTTTTCATTTTCCTTTAAAAAATAGTATTAGCATTGAGGAATTACACAAAGGGATTTCATTAGGATATTTACAACATGAATATCACAGACACTGAGCAAAAATATAAAATATATTATTCTTAAGATATATGTGTATGTGACACATACATATATGTCAACCAAAATTTTCAGTAGTTAAATACATTAAACATTAACTGAACTCCTCCAACTGATACACCATGTGAAACATGATATGGTTGGTACCAGAACAGTTGATTACATAAATAAGGGAAGCATTACTTCTTGTGTTACCTCATGCAAAATATTTAAATCATTGGACAGGATGAGAACAGAGTGCAGAATTTATGGCTTTGTCTTAGCCCCTTGTTTGAGTTTTAAACTCATGTTTAAGTTCCTCTTCTTCAGTGCATATCAGTTCCAGACATCAGAGCAGACTTCTGATATCTCTCTCAGTACAAGCACCACTGCAGAACCTTGAGTCACCACATGCTCAGAAGCCACCTTTGTCACAGCTACTCAGGTCAGCCAGACTATCCTGAACCAGCTCAAGTCCTGTCCGACACTTCTAAGGTTCCACTCCTCCCCCTGGTGGTAAAAGGTGAAACAGCAGCAGGTCTCAAGTTGTACAGGTGTTCATTTATTCCTATCATCAACAAAAAGGAATTATTTAATGTTATACAATGATAGTTATTATGAACATTCGCCAACAGTGAAGTCTTGAGCACATTTAAGAAAATCAATGATCTCACAGAATTTTCATTTTAATGAGACTGACAGAAATCAAATGAACAAATACTGTTTCTTTTTTTCTTTTATATTTTATTATTTTATTAGTTTTTTTATTGTGAAAATACTGTACAGAGGGGTTACAATTACATGGGCAAGATAATGAGTACATTTCTTATCAAGCACTGTTGCCTCCTTCTTTTTTTTCCCTTCCCATCCCTTCCCCTCTCCCCCCGCCACACACACCCCCAACCGATCTTTCCCCCACCAACCAAAGTTGTAAAGTTCATTTTTCAACATAATAACTTGTACATCTCATTGTTGCAGTGGGTCCACCTGTATCCCCATTTAAATGATTGGTTTTTTTCCCTTCCCCTCCACAAATTATACCAACCTCAAATACAGTGAAAGCAGGAGTTATATTGTGGGGGAGGGACATACAAAGCAACAAAGAAATCATCTTATAAATATGTTAGAAACAATCACATGAAAGCAAAAAACATTTGAGTACTTATCTTGGGATTCATTTCCCTAACATCAACTTATCTGACCTTTTCTGCTTGACTCAGGCATATACTAGTTATTGCAAATAAGGGAAACCATGGGACCTATGTTTCTTTGGGCCTTCACTTAATATAATACTGTTTCTATGGTTGCTCCTAACTTACTCCTTTGGGATTCTCATCCCCTTTTTCAATGTTGTTGTGGCTTTTGAACTTAAGGCCTGGATGCTGTGCTGAGGTTTTCTGCTCAAATATAGCACTGAATTGCTTGCTCCACAGTTTCACTGCTGGCTTTTGGTTGGTTAGTTGGAGGTAAGTGTCTCACAGAGGTTTGTGTGTGAGCTGGCATTGATCTGTGATCCTCACAGCTCAGTTTCCTGAATAGCTAGAATCACAGGTCTGAGTCACAAGTCCCGAGTGTATTCTCCCACTTTCAGCAATGTCCTTAATCAGAGCACATGGTATGGGCTTCTTCTAACTTATCATAATGAACAGAGAAATAGACAAGAAGTTGTACAGTTGAACGATTATATTTCATGGAAATTAAACTCAACAGTGTGCTCACTAGTGGCCAGTTATCCAAACAAAGGCAGAGGTCTTCTAATCCATCATGTGTTCAAAGCTTGAAGCAGTACACACTGTTCAGTGAGGATAATTACTGTCTGATGAAATCTATATAAACCAACACAGACCTATTTTTAGCAGGGTGTATATTTTTACTATATTCATCATATGTTTCAATAAAAAAGTAGCCTCTCCATTTATTTAAAGGGAAGCATTTGAGGGTAAAAAAGAGAAAGAAACATTAGTCTCTTATATCCCAAAGATTCTCAATAACCCCTTTTAGTGCTATGACTAACCTTTTCCTCCTCTGATTAACTCACAGCATTGGTCCCTAATTGTAGAGTAGACACTTGCTTCTTTAAAACACTGATTTTTGTCTTCTTAATTCTCACATATCATTTGGTGTGCTGTTCAGTTTTGAAGATGTTGATTCCCAACACATTCCATAGATTAGGTTCAGCTACATTAACTGGACTTTCAGAGAAAACATGTCTTAGAAGGCAATGCCATGTGGTTATCTATCCTCACGGGGCATATTACCTGTACTTCCCTCATAGGAGAACACTGTGTAACAAAGATTGTTGGATTTCAGTCTTTATTCACATCCAGGCCCAATCATCTCTCTCTCTCTCTCTCTCTCTCTCTCTCTCTCTCTCTCTCTCTCTCTCTCTCTCTCTCTCTCTCCCTCTCTCTCTCTTAAATTCCAAGGGATTTCTAGGCTTTCATGTCATGAGCAGAGGAGGATGAGCAAATGTACATTTATTATTGCATCAGAGTCACATTTAAGAGACATATTTCTTTTTCTAGTTCTCACCCATTTAATACATTGTCACAGTTTTCAGCCAAGTGTAAGTAAAAGTTTTCCAAATGGCCATCCAGTTTCTGCTCTTGTTTGGACATAGTAATGAATAAACTCCATGTGGGAACCCTCCTCACTTCACTCTAGCTTCACTGCCTGTGGTCTTTGTCCTCACTGCCTGGAGATGTCCTCTGCATACGGTGTGGCTCCAGTTCCTCATCCTCAATCTTGGTCATGTTGCATTTCACCCCATTTTTTTGCCTGTTTGTGTCTCATTCATCGAAAATACCATCACTTAGACACTAGATTAACTGGAGAGGGATATAGGGATATTCACATGTATGGAATGGAGTAGACTAAAGTAAATGTGAGCCCATGGGTTAGAGGACAACTTAGCTTCTGAGGGGCCACAGTTTCAGATAATAAATTGAGGAGACACACTGCACTGAAAAGCTTAGAAAATGACTGGTGTTGAAAAGAATAATGGTTACAAAGCAAGAAATAGAACCAAGTTCTTTCCTTCATATGAGGTTGAAAATAAAAAAAAAAAATCTTGAGAAATGTCTTGGAGGGAGACTTTGAAAAGCCAATATTCATCAGGAATGCACAGGGCAGCAATGCAAGCACCATGGGCTGGTCTCTACATTGCAGATCATGAATTTTGGTTGCACTTGCTTTGTTTTAACATGGTATTTTTTAAAATGATTAAATCCAGCCTGCTACCTAGGTAGCTATCTAGATTTTCCTTCCTTGTATCCTTGCTTCCTTGCTTTAATCTATCGTATTTTTTTATATTTTTTTATACTTCCCTAACTCCATACATTCCTACCTATCTACTTCTACCTAGCCAACTACCTACCTACCTATGATCAGTGTTATCACTTATCAATTTCTGGATAATGCTGATTATGATTAACTACACTTTGGGGTAGGGCAGAAAAACAAAAAACTCAGAAATCTGGTGCCAAGGCAGCAGCTTCTATAATTATTTTCATTCTGATTTTTTTTCTGAGTGACTGACATGCAAAAGCTATTGTGAATATCATAATATAGATCATGTTGAAATCAAAATATAGTTTTTAATTTTTTTGTTTGGTCATGGGGCCTAAACTCTGGGCCTGGGTGCTGTCCCTCAGCTCTTCAGCTCAATGCTAGCACTCTACCACTTGAGCCACAATACCTCTTCTGGCTTTTTCTGCTTATGTGGTGCTGAGGAATTGAACCCAGGGCCTCATGCATGTGAGGCAAGCACTCTACCACTGAGCCACCTTCCCAGCCCATAAAAATAAACTTTTAAAAAAAGAGTAAGAAAGTCATTCTGTCTTTGGAAAAATATTTTTAAGGACAAATTTGTGATGTGCAGGTCTCATTGGGACACATGATAACTTTAGTTCTGGGCTTTGACCTGGATTTCTGCCACCCTGCATCTGTGCTGGCTCTGTTGCTTTGCCTAGCAGTTGAGGATTTGCATGCACCCAGAGCACAGCCCACTTGGCCTGAGAACTTCTTTAAGGCTGCTCAAATTCTGTGTATCAGTCAGTCCCAGTCAGCACATACCATGGACGTGAGGGCCCCTGCCCAGCTGGGCTGCCTGCTGCTCTGGCTCCCAGGTAAGGAAGGATGGCACTTCTTCCACCCTATGGGAGAAGTCTAGGTCTAGAAGCCTAGATCTTCATGGAAGTTCTCACAGTATAACTATTTGGGTGGATATTTGTCTTTTGTTTCCAATATCAGGTACCAGTTGTGACATTCTGATGACCCAGTCTCCATCCTCTCAGTCTGCATCAGTAGGAGACAGAGACTCCATTACCTGCAAGGCCAGTCAGGGTATTAGCAATAATTTAGAATGGTATCAACAGAAACCAGGGAAAGCTCCTAAACTCTTGATTTACTGGGCAAACAATTTGGAACCCGACGTGCCATCCAGGTTCAGTGGGAGCCAATCTGGGACAGAGTTCACTCTCACAATCAGCAGCCTTCAGCCTGAAGACTTTGCAGCTTACTACTGTCAACAGGGTAATAGTTACCCTCCCACAGTGGTACAAGCCATAACATAAACCTCTAGGGGAAGCAGAAATGACAGGCTGGGCTGCCCCAGCTGCTTCTCCTTGTGGTTTCACCTGCTTTGCAGTTACAGCCAGGCTCTGAAGTTCAGTTGGGGATTTGGTTGAGGTGGTCAGTGACAATCCTCTCAATCTTAACTGTATTTCTTCATCTCAGCCTCACAGTCATCATTCAGACAAGGCTTCTGTCATCATAAAAAGAACACAGATCTGTACTTCAGAGCATCTGGAATATGGTATCCAGGGGATATGATTTCCACTTGGAAGGCCTCACAAGAGAGGCATTTGCCCTCCCTTTGTTCCTCTTACACTTGCACCCATTTGCTTAGTGAATTCCCTTCTAAGTCTGAGATTCAAGGTTCAGCCTGACCTTGTCTTGACCCATCATGACTCCTCAGGTCCTTCTTTAAAATGAGGATGTGCTAGGCATTGGTGGCTCACGCTTATAATTCTAGACACTTAGGAAGCTGAGATCTGAGGATGTGGTTCAAAGCCAGCCTGGACAGAAAGCTGTGAGACTCTTATCTCCACGTAAATACTAGAAGACCAGAAGGGTGGCTGTGACTTAATGTGCTAGAGTGCTAACCTTGAGCAAAAGAGCTCAGGGATAGTGAGTGCCCAGGCCCTGAGTTCAAGGCCTATGACTGACAACAATAGGGATTTTAGTAAAGTCCTGAGGACATTATTGCTCTGGATCATTAGCAAAGACAGAGAGAGATGAACAATGACATTATATAATATGCTGGAAAATTTAGGAACTGGAGATCATGTTGAATGATATAAGTCAGGATTCCAATGCCAATTATTCCATGATCCCATTCATTTGTGGTATGTAGAATTAAATAATGCTGATAATATAACAATAATTCAATAATAGTAATAATAAAACATGGTAACAGTTCATGAAAGCAAAATGGGGAAAATGTCTAAAGGGAGATTGGTAAGGGACCTAAGGCACAAATAAATGAAAATGAATTAAGTATAATATATAATATAATGTATATCCACACATACATATATTTGTAAATTATGAAGTCAGTTATATAAAGTAAGATAATAGGTGTTGAAGGGAAATGACAGTGGAAATACAAAGAAGGTAGTTAAATTTTTCAAAGTACATTGAATTTAAGTATAGAATTATCATTTAAAATCACCTCATGCTATTAATATATGCAAATTAAAATTAATCCTTCAGTAAAAGAAATAAAATGGCATAATTTTGCATTAAAATACTGAGATACTCTTGCATAATTGTTTGAGAAGATTATATTTTTATTGTGAAAAAAACTGTACAGAGGGGTTACAATTACATGGGCAAGATAATGAGTCCATTTGTTATCAAGCATTGTAGCCTCCTCCTTTGTTTCCCCTTCCCATCCTTTCCTATCCTCCCCCCGCCCCCCCACCCAATCCTCCCCACGGCCCGGTCCCACTCACCCCTCCTCACCAAAGTTGTAAAATGTACAAGTCGTTATGTCAAAAACGAACTTTACAACTTTGGTGAGAGGATTACTTAACAAAACAAAACCAAAACTCCAAATGGAAATCTTGCCAGTTGCTATGTCACAAAGGTTCCACTAGATGCCAAAATCCACACAAAGAGAAAAAATGGAAGCCTGATCTTAGAGACCTTGGGAAAGCAGGGGTGATGCTTCCCTTTTGTTCTTAGGAGCTTGAGCCTGGGGAGCTCTATTCCAGGCTTTCATGGAACACATGGCAGCTGGGACCATGTTTATGGAAAGGGTCAAGTCTCCTCATGTACAAGTTCCCATTTCATATTTCACTTTGAAAGTGTAATCACACAAGACAAGGCTGACACTTCCACCAGGATTCTTATAGTGAAATCATCAAGTACAGGTCAGAAAGGCAAGGGGAGGAGGGCTGAAGACACGCAGTCCTGAAGGGAACATGCACACACCATATCCAGTTGTGGGAGGTGAGAGGGGGCTGCACTGTCAATGCTATCCCCAGCAGGGGCCCAGAGTCCTCTGCACTGAGCAGGTCATTGCTTGTGCTCGAAAGAACAGATTGGGTCCTGAGCTTCATGATGCTCAGGCTAAGAGTGAGGAAGGGCCATTGTTCCCTAGAGTTCTTTTTCAGGATCAGAATTTCAAATGATGAGTTAGACAAAGAAAGTATGTTTACCCATGTGTTAATTTGATACATATGAACATGTTACCTCAGCATTCTTCCATTTGTGAAGTGCTCCTTTATGTTTTTTTTTTTTTCAGTTGGTGGTTGTTTTTTTTTGTTTGGTTGGGTTTTTTTGTTTGTTTTTGTTTTTTGTTTTTTCTTCCAGTCCTAGGGTTTGAACTCAGGATGTAGGTGTTGTCTCTGAGATCTTTGTGCTCAAGGCTAGTATTCTACAACTTAAACCATAACATCATTTCCAGCTCTTTCTGGGTAATTGATTGGAGATCAGTTTATTCCTGACCAGGGTGGATTCAAACCATGATCCTCAGATCTCAGCCTCCTTAGAAGCTAGGATTAGAGGAGTGAACTACCAGAGCCCCACTTCCTCTATGTTTGAATAGGACTGGAATTAAGAATCTGTCCTGAGGACCCTGCTGAATCTCTTCCTTATCCCAGCCCTTCAGAAGCCAAGGGATTAACCCTGGAGCATCCTTCCTATAGACTCAGCCTAGCTCTGAAGTCTAGGTCTCTCAGACTTTCAGCTCACTTACTTTCATGGCCCAGATTATAAACATGTTCCTTTCCTGAAGCTCTTCCTTCTTTCAGGAAGATCCACAGAAAGTATTTTTAGTGTCCCCCATCTCCCTGTCTTCAGCTCCATTCCTCACAGCCCAGAGCAATGTAAGCCTGACAACAGCTGTGGTTGGAGGCCATTGTTTCAAACTCTTCCAAGTATTCCAGTACCTAAAGCCTTTGCAGACTTGAAACTGGTAAGACACATTTTCACAGTTGCTGAAGCTAGACCTGGAGCATGGATCACGAGAATTTATGTGTTATTGCTAGAGCTGTCTGCTTTTAACTCGACACAAGTAGATGTCTTTTGTCATTCTATTAATAATTTGCCAGGTAGTCTTTATAACTTCACAGCACCCAGCTGCCTTTTACTTGTTTTATTTAGTACCAGCTTTGTCCTACAGCACATGGTAGAGAGAGCAAATCTCTTCCAACAAAGACAGTGACAAAAATTGAGAGGACCATATGAGAAAAATAAAGGTTAAATTTAAGAGGAATGAGGGGAAGAGTATAGCTTTCGGTAGTAGGTTCGTACATCATCATAAAAAGAAGGAAGAAGAACATTATAAAGCCCTTCCTGAAGCAGTTGTGGTAGCATGTGCTGCAGAGATCATTCATGTTTTAGCAGGAGAAGATGATCATGTCTAGACTCAGATGCAGTTTATACACTAAATGGTAATGAAGAAGCCTCTGACTGGACAATGACTTATTTGTGGGCTCTGTGACTTCGAACAACTGTGTTATCTCCTTGCACCCACAAGCAGATGCTTCCATTTGTGATGTTAAGTTCCATGTGACTCCTCTGCTGTTTAGCCTCAAATGTGACATCCTGCACTATACAATGCAGTGTGTCACCACATGCTGATCTCCATGTTGTGCAGCCTGCTAACATAACTCTAGCTTCACTTCCTATTGTCAGCTGTGCTTGATTCCTCATGCTGAAGATGTCCTCTCCAAACTGTGTGGCTGCAGTTTGTCCTCACTCTGACCACAGAGCTTTTTATTTTGTCTGTGTCTGTTTGGATCAAATGGCCTAAATGCATTCACTAAAAAATGCTTTAGTACCAGGTACCACTGGCTCATCCCTGTAGTTCTAGCTACTCAAGAAGCTGAGATCTGCTCAAGGTAATTGGAAGTCAGCCTGGGCATGAAAATCTATGTGCTGCTTATCTCTAATTTACCACTAAAAAGCTGGAAGTGAAGCTATGCCTCATGTTGTAGAAAACCAGCCTTGAACACAAAAGCTCAGGAAACTACCTTAACTCTGAGTTCAAACCTCAGGCCAAGCACACAAAACAATTACTTACAACCTAAAATATATTGGTCATGAAAGATAATGCAGGGTTAAGGAGAACAGTGAACTGGAAGTAGAGTTCAGCCATTGGTTAAAGAACATATTAGATAGACAGATAGATAGAGAGAGAGAGAGAGAGAGAGAGAGAGAGAGAGCAGCTTCCAGTAATTAAGATAGAAAACACAAATGTCCTCCCAAAGTTTAGTAAATGTTATGTTAAACAGAAATGCATGACACTTACAAAGCTAGATATGGAGCCACATGTATTCCTAAGTATAAGGAGGAAATACCTTTTATGATCTGTCCTAGAGAAAGGCAATAAATCACAGCATTCAGAAGAGAAGGAAATGAGTCATTTGTATGGCGTGAACAGGACAGCAATACAAACAGCAGAAGACACTCTATACATCTCAGATAAAAATAGTTTATTTCACATATAATACTTTTCAAGAGTTTTCTCTCTCATAAAACTTTTTGAATTCAATATATTTCTCAATCTGGATAATAATGATAATTATTAACTATATAATGTGGTTCAGGGAATTAACCTGAATGCTCTAGAATCCTGTGTCACAAAATTCACAGATAAAAAATGCAGGAAAAGTATAAAATTGACCTCCCTTAGGAATGTTTATCTCTCAGTGACTGGCTTACATTAACATAAACAGTAAAGAAAATACTAGCAAGTCTTGGACAATATAGGAATTAAAAACATTTATT